AAAAATAGATTCCACTTTAAAATTGAAATTTATAACGAATAAAAATTTAAATTTAACTCCGTAGGAATAGTAGTAATGTGTGTGTAAAATTTCGAAGCTCGGTCTTAAATATCTATCGTGATCTCAACAAAAAGACAAACACGCATTTCGGCTAGTTTCAGCGTTGACTATTGAAGACTTGTAACTGTGCATATTTGAAAATTATTTACATAATTTGGTTGTTGTTTTGAAGTTTTTTTTTGTATCTAAAGAAGACTCCTTTTTTCGACGACGGGCATGGTTTCCAACTTCCGAATCCAAAAATTCTAGGTACAACAGTTAAAAATGGCGGTTCTATGAAATTTAATTTAATAAAAATCCCTATTTTCGACCACAAACCACATTCAATCTTAACTAATTGAATAGCTATACATTTGGAACGGCTTGGTTTATTAGTTTTTGAGTTATAGTGCCAGCCATTCGTAAAAACACGGTTTTGACAAAAAATCGTTTAAACGTTTGGTGAACAAATGTACAAAAAAATTATTTTTCCATTTATTTTTTCTGCGGATGTTTATTCCAAGCCTGTGCAATATTTCGTGATAGTTGCACCCCCTTCCCGATTAGAGGACAACAGCACCACTTCCTTAGACTGACATTTTTAATTACTTGCCCAGATTCCCTTCTTGAGTTGTACAGTTCACGAACGAACTAGTTCAAATGAACGATTCACTTAAAAGACCGATTGAACTAGGACTTTCAAAGTCGTTCCTTTTAGTTCGTTAAAAGAACGAACTGGAATAATCGTTTATTTTAGTTCAAATGTGAGCATTTTACTGACCTAAATGGAAGCGGCACCGATCGAGACATTTTTCAATTATTCTGAAACTTTTCTTTAAAAATCCCCATAAACTGTTCTAAAATTTTTCTTTATAATATCCTCACCAAAAGAAAAAAAAATTGTAAAATTGTTTTTATTCACTCATCAATCACAATCTTCCAAGAACACAAACTATCAACTGAACGATTTGGAGAGCCATGAACTATTAAAAGAACGACCGAAGTAAAACGACAGCTGAATAAAAGAGCTTAATTGTGAACGATTGAGCTGAACTAAAAAGAGCGATCAGGTAAATGAACTAGATTGAAAAACTCTATTCCTTTCACCGTGGGTTGTGTTGTGGTGTTCGACCTTCAATTGTGGCCTATAAATCGACTCGAAAAACACAAAAAAATTAAGTTTTCGGTTTGTTTCATCCCAAAATTATTATCTGATCATCGCCGAAAATTATAGGCGTTGTCCTTGACCATAACTGGAACCTCATGAAACATTTCAAAGCTACCATCGCTATATTCCCGCCCTCCAGTGTGGTAATGGGTTACAAAAAAATATATGAATACGTAAGCCCCTGTAAATATTTTAGTGTAACTCCCACATCCGAGTACATACGACAATATAATTGATGTTAATTTAAAGGCCAACCACTCCTCTTGGATATACTATCAACTTCTCGGGTCTATGTCCTATGTCCTATAGAATACAAATTTTGTAATTTTTCACACAAAAGTCAGGGTCTATTTGACCCGCTAAATACTGACCGATTTTTATCAAAACTGGCAAATATGGCCCGATCCCCTTCTCCATGTAAAAATTTGCGATGTTTAGTCCATAATTGCAGCCTCTGGAGCGACCAGAAAAAAAAGACAAACATTTCAAAAATGTCCATTTCATCCCCTAAATATTAACCGATCTTTACCAAAAACAATAGGTGACTTCATTGGGCACAACCCATCATATATGCAAAATTTCGTGAAGATTGGTCCATAACTGTGGCCTGTATCGTGTTTAAAAATTATAATGGATTGACGAACGGACACACATGTCTTGATCGACTCAGCTAGTCGAGATATGACGTTCGGTGGGTCTTGGACCAATATTTCGCGGCGTTACAAACTCTTGGTGCTGCACAAAGCTATAATACCCAGACAACGTAGCTGTGTAGGGTATAAAAACCAGTGAGAAAAGTTGTAACCTTGGGTATATTCAACAGATACATCACACATCTTGTGAACTGGGAGCAACTAAAGTATGTGATATGAACTTCAGTACCATGTGCAAAATTTTGTGGCAACCGGCATAAACTTCTTCTTTAGTGCACCATTTACATAAAATCGGTCGAAGCTATATATGGAGCTATATCTAAATCTTAACCGATTCCAACAAAACTTTGCATACATTAACCTGGACCTAATTCAGTGCGCTGTGAAAAATTTGTGTCCCAATCGGACAAATGTTGGCAATTTGGTGCACCATTTACTGAAAATCGAACGAAACTATATATGGGAGCTATATCTAAATTTGAACCGATTTCAAGAAAACCTCGCATACATATATCTGGACTTAAGGGAACCCCCCCCCATTCACGATTTTCATTTTTTAAGATTTTCAATGGGCTGGTAAATCAATACCAATGCTTGTTAAGGTTTGTAACTTTGCACATACATATTTGAAGATTTTAAAGAGAAGAAAAATAATTTACAAAAAAATTGCGTAATTGTTTTGTTGTTGTTTTTTTCTAATTAAAGAGAAGTCCTCATTTTTGATGGCGGGCATGATAACTCCTCACTGGAACATCGGAATCCGAAAATTCTAACAGTGTTAGAAAGAATACATGTCTGGCTCTCGTATGAACTAGAATTATTGGCTTCGCTCTAAAATAATAAAATCGCGGACCTTTGAAAACCATGTTAAAAAATAAGGAAGATCTTCACCGATTGACTTTATACGATAGTTCATACGATAGCTATACACTCACAGAGAAACGTGTAAAAATTTGGAATCGATTGGGTTATTAGTTTTTGAGTTATCGTGCCCGTCATTCGCAGTACGGAAACACGCCCCCAGTACTGCTGTGCAAATGTTGGTTGAGACAACATTTGCACAGCAGTACGCTGTGCAAAATGTTGTCTCAATCAAACAAATATTTCTATAAAATTTGACACACGTGATGTTATAGCAACTTCAGCACGCCTTGCAAAATTTTGTGTCAATCGGCTTAACTTTGAACCATGTGTCTATCTCGATTCCTTTTCATAATACCCTGTGCCACAGTGTGGTAAAGGGCATACAAGTCTAAAAGTTGCTTTACATGCACTACCATTTATTTCAAAAATATGTTTGAGAAAACCATCACGTTTTGTTTATTTTTGAAAAAGTTATACGACATTTATTAACCTTGCAATTTTAGTTGCTTTAGTTTTGGCCACCCAAATGGGCCAACATTTTATGTAAAATTCGCTCATCGTAATATTTTACATAGCCTAGATGGAATATCCATAATAGGTCAAAAATTTGGAAATCATTTATTTCATAAGAATGGTGTGGATTGTCCGATTTGATGCCAAATAAGCACATCGTAATATTTCTTTTAAACTTAAATTAAGTTGGAAGATGATTAAAATGTAGCTGGAAATTAATTTTATAATGGACGAATGGACTATCTGTTTAAACAAACCTCTGCACAGCCTAATATTTTAACCATGCCTATATAATGTTGGGAGATTACACTAGTACCTCTCCCATAAAAGGTCAAAATTTTTGAAACTTGTAAATCACGTATGAAGTGAACGAAATATCCAATTTCATTGGAACCCTTGGTCCAATCCTTCAGGTACCTTCCCCACAATGTGTAAACATTTTGAAAATTTGTAATCAATGTCAGATGTTATCGGATGTCAGATTTGATCCAAATTTGGCAAAACATTAAATTACATTAAATTCTAAGATGAGGTCTATAGGGCAAATTTATTTGGAATCTGTCCAAAGATGGTTAACCATCTCTTTGAAAAAAACGTACACTTCATATAAGGAGAACGATAAAACCTGTATTTTATTCTGTAGACCTCCTCACACCAAGCACCTTAATTTTTACAAAACATTAATAATTTTCGAATATTGGGCATATCGGCTTTTCTGCCTACCTATCTTACAAAGTGTCAAAATTTCCAAAATTGTTAAACTTTATCTGGAGTATCCAATTTGATTTAAAAATTCTCAAATTGCAATTAATTTACAAATGAAAATAATTTTAAATGCGTTTTCAATTTTATTTAAATATTAAAAAATACATTTTATATCAAATTTATATTCGAAGGAAAAACCCTTAAAAACATGACAGATCTGACATAAAATTAACTATTACTTTAAACCAATTCCAACTCCATTACTAAAGTATTTAGCACAGTTCTATAATTAATAAAAAAAGAAAAATTAAATAAAATACATAACAATATTTCCTCTATATGGGAATTCCACTACTGGAAAATGACCACACGGGCCCTTCAAAAAAACTATCCGGTCGTGTACCTTATTTTCAATTTTTTTTTTTCAAAATTCTGAATGATGTTAATTACATGCCTCTTTTAATTTAAATGGCCAATTTAGTTTTGTTTTTGTTTATGAACTAATGTTAAGCTCCTACGCTTAAGAGAAAATGTGTGTTCGTTCTAATGAAGCGTTCTAACAAACAAAAACAAAAATCTCAACCAACCATGGCACTAACAACAAACTTCTTTACACAAACCGCCAACGGCATCATTTTTTGGCATTTGTAGAACTTTTAAAATTAAAAATTTGATTTATCAACAGATCTCCGGTTGCTTTGTTTACATATTTATTTTGTTGTTGTTGTTTTTTTTTGTTTTGGCTTAAATGGTTTAAGCCCTATCAGATATTCATTTGTTTACGATGTGTGTTATTATAATTTTTGTTGTTGCTGTTTGTGTGTGTCTGAGAGTATAGATCGTCTTGTGTGTGGCTGGCTGGCCAGTGGCTACTGGCTATAGATGTTCACAAAAAAAACAACCCGTCAAAATAGAATTTCTCACATTTTCCCTGCCTGGTATAAAAATGACATGCGATGCTGAAGATCTCATCAAACGTAAACGTGAAGGGTTCGCGAGAAGAACGCACTTTCTAAATCGCAAAAATCGCAAATTGAATCGTAATTTAAGATAACAAAATGCGCGCTTTCATTGTCTTGACTTTGTTGGCTTGCTTCGTGGCCATGGCATGGTCGGCTGCCATTGAACAGGTGGAAGATGGTGCTGCTGCTGCCGATTTATTGGAAGTAGATGCTGGAGTTCCAAGTGCCGATGAACACACCAGACAAGCTCGTCAATTCTTTTTTGGCGGTTTTGGACGTCCCTACGGTGGTTTCTATGGCCGTCCCTATGGCGGTTTCTATGGTCGTCCCTATGGCGGTTTCTATGGCCGTCCCTATTATGGTGGTGGTTTCTATCGTCCTTATGGTGGATACTATGGCGGTTTCTACGGCTAAACGAATTATGTGATATAAGAACAAGCTTATTTATTTAATATTTATGGTTAGATTTACGAATAAAAAAAATTATAAAAACAAAAACAATTCAGAGTGTGTTAAATTGTGAAGATGTGAAATGGAGTCGTGGTTCGGATCGGGTCGAAGTTGAGACAATTTTTCAAAATTATTGAAATATATAGATCTATTGAACATTGGTTAGGATCTCATCGCAATATCTGCCCTGGATACAACATATCGAATTCATCGGACTAAGTGTGCTTTTCCTTATGTGCGGATTTTTTAAACAACATTTTTCATGGACTTTCATAACCATAGTTCATAGTTTAAAGATTCCTGGTTTGAAGTTTGAGTTCGTGTGAATAAAACCCAAAAATTTTACAACAACAACTAACCACAATATCACATATCATTCTTCCCCTAATAATCCTCCCGCATGAAAGCAAAAAATCTGAACATTAAAATATGAGCATTGTTACAAATCATGATATCAGCATATTTTTCCTAATGGAAGGTCCTTGTGGGATAACCACCAAACAAAATAACTGGAAAAAGAAAACTGTAAGAAAAACTTTATGATTTTCTTTTAATGCTATAAGAATGGTTAGAGCAGAAGCAGCAAGAACGACATAACTCTTATATAAAGTCCCTAATGACATAATTAAATCACTTAATCTCCATTTTGGAGAGGTCTCAAGGTAAGAGAGAGTGAGCGAGATAGTGGAGAAGTAAAAAAGGCGGAATCAACGTCACAACATAATGACAAATAAAAGAGAGTTGAAGAAAAATTGGTTGGTGGGAGGAAGGTAAGTAGGCAGCTAAAAAAAAACTATCTTCATCGTCATCATCATCCATTAGGTTTCGATGGTGCAGCATGTGTAAGCTGTTTGTATGACGACGACGTGTATAGCTCGTTCATTATACTCGAGAGGTTTAGACGGTTTTTACTTCAAAACAGAAATCGTCGGATAAAAAAGATGATTTTATAAAAATTACCCAGCAAGAAAAAAAAGTTAAAGGAAGTGTAAAATGTAAGACTATATGTTTGATAAGCAATATCGTCTGAAATAGTTAATAATTAACTATTTCAGATTTCTGAATAAAGGATACACAACGAAATTTTGAATTTAAACTTGACAGACATTATTCTAGGCTCAATCCAGTTCGTTATGCCAAATTTCGTGCAAATCGACAGATATATAGGGACTTTGGTGTACCCTTTACATGAAATCGGACGAAACTATATATGGGAGCTATATCTAAATCTGGACCGATTTTTTCGAAACTTAGCAGACATCACTCTAGACTCAATTCAGTACGTTATGCCAAATTTCGTGCAAATCGAAAAATATATAGGGACTTTGGTGCAATATTTACATGAAATCGGACGAAACTATATCTAAATCTGGACCGATTTTCTCAAAACTTGGCGGGCATAAATCTAGGCTCAATTCAGTACGTTATGCCAAATTTCGTGGAAATCGAAGGATATATAGGGACTTTGGGGCACCATTTACATGAAATCGGAAGAAACTATATATGGGAGCTATATCTAAATCTAAACCGATTTTCTCGACACTTTTCAGACTCTAGACTCAATTCAGTACGTTATGCCAAATTTCGTGCAAATCGAAAGATATATAGGGACTTTGGTGCAATATTTACATGAAATCCTACGAAACTATATATGGGAGCTATATCTAAATCTGGACCGATTTTCTCAAAACTTGGCAGACATCACTCTAGGCTCAATCTAGTACGTTATGGCAAATTTCGTGCAAATCGAAGGATATATAGAGACTTTGGTGCACCATTTACATGAAATCGGGCGAAAATATATATAGGAGCTATAGCTAAATCTTAACCGATTTTTCCCAATTTCAATAGGGTTCGTCCTTGGGCCAAACAAATGAGCTGTGCCAAATTTCATCCAAATCGGATTATAAATCGACTCAGAAAGTAATTCGACAAAAGGAACTGTACTTTGTTTAGGCTTAATTTACGTTATGCCAAATTTCGTGCAAATCGAAGGATATATATATATGAAATCGGAGCTACTATATATGGGAGCTATATATAAATCTGAACCGATTTTCTCGAAACTTGGCAGACATCACTCTGGGCTCAATCCAGTACGTTATGGCAAATTTCGTGCAAATCGAAGGATATAAAGGGACTTTGGTGCACCATTTACATGAAATCGGGCGAAAATATATATGGAAGCTATAGCTAAATCTTAACCGATTTTTCCCAATTTCAATAGGGTTCGTCCTTGGGCCAAACAAATGAGCTGTGCCAAATTTCATCCAAATCGGATTATAAATGCGACCTGTACTTTGTTTACAATTTAACACCAACAGACGGACGGACATGCATAAATCGTCTCAGAAAGTGATTCTATGCATATTCTCAAAAGGAACTATGGGTCTATCTCGTTTCTTTTTGCCTAGGCTTAATTCAGTACGTTATGCCAAATTTCGTGCAAATCGAAGAATATATAGGGACTTTGGTGCACCATTTACATGAAATCGTAAAAAAACTATATATGGGAGTTATATCTAAATCTGGACCGATTTTCTCGAAACTTGGCAGACATCACTCTAGGCTTAATTCAGTACCTTATGCCAAATTTCGTGCAAATCGAAGGATATATAGGGACTTTGGTGCACCATTTACATGAAATAGGGCGAAAATATGTATGGGAGCTATAGCTAAATTTTAACCGATTTTTCCCAATTTCAATAGGGTTCGTCCTTGGGCCAAACAAATGAGCTGTGCCAAATTTCATCCACATCGGATTATAAATGCGACCTGTACTTTGTTTACAATTTAACACCAACAGACGGACAGACGGACGGACATGCATAAATCGATTCAGAAAGTGATTCTATGCATATTCTCAAAAGAAACTATGGGTCTATCTCGTTTCCTTTTGCATGTTACAAACATATGCACAAATACATAATACCCTGTATCACAGTGTCGTGAAGGGTATAAAAAATATCTTAAATCGGTTATATGGGGCTTATATCAAAACTTGGACCCATAGACCACATTTCCCATACCAGTAGTATTGTGTATAAAAACCATCTGAACCAAAATTTGGCCGCCTATGCCAAGTGATTCGCGGGCTAATAAGTTTAGACCCAATTTTTGGGTAAATACTTAAATGGGGTACCTCTGTATGGGGGCAGACCTATTGTTTCGATATTTGTTATCCATAGAGAACTCTCTGAGCCATATTACAGTCAACCTGATTGTAAAATGTGTCTAATAGACAAAAAATACCTTAAATATGGTTATATGGGGCTCATACCAAAACTTGGAGCCAGGTACCCAATTTTCCATAGCAATATTCGGATATTTACACAAGTATTTACCCATGTCTTTATAATATCGTAAAACTATCCATTATAAATCCCAGATTTTGTATTGTCGATTCAATGTAGTAAATACCCAAATAAATACCGCAAATGGGTATTAACCCACCCCTTGTGTATTTACCCGGTAAATACCATATCTATCTATAAGTGAACCGACCGATTAATCCATACACATGCCTTTCTACAATCTATGCTAAATTTTATTATATTTATATGGGATAAATTTATGTAAATCGATTTAAAACTTATATATGAAAGCTACATATGTCTGCATCTGCACCAATTTCAATAAAACGCAATAACGTCATTCTTGCCTTAATTTGATACGTGGTACAAAATTTCGTGTCAATCGGACAAATCTCGGGGCTTTGGTGCACCATTTACCGGAAATCCTACGAAGTTTTACAGGAGAGCTATATCTAAATCTGAACTGATTTCAAAAAAACTTGCAAGAGATTAATTTGTATTAACTTCAGTACATTCGACAAAATTGTATGGCAATCGTACAAACTTTGGGTCTTTAGTGCACCATTTACATTAAATTGGATTAAATTATATATGGGAGCTACATCTAAATCTGAACCGATTTTCACGATCTAGACATCATTCTAGACTAAATTCAGTCCGCTATGCCAAATAGAAAGATATAAAGGGACTAAGGTGCACCATTTACATGAAATCGGACGAAAATATATATTGGAGCTATATCTTAATCTGAACCAATTTACACAAAATCTAAAACACATTATTCCAGACTTAATTTAGGACGCTATGTCAATTTTCGTGCAAATCGAAATATATATTGGGGCTTTATTTAAAAATCGGCCACAAATTTAAGCGGACTTCGCCTAATTGTAGTTGAGGCAAATGTTTGTGGTATCAAAGTATATAACCTCTTTAGCTTTAAGGCTTATATTCTTTCCACCAAATGCTTGGCTGGGATATAGTCCTTTTTCACTCTACAATCTAAATGAAGACAACAAAAAACGTTCATATGTAGTAATAGATATAATTTGGCAAATTAAGTTATATGAAAGTTACAAATTGTATTACATTGTAACGGTGTGATGATTACCAGGACCAGGACCAAAAACAAAAAGATATCAACTCCCGCAATAACTTTCACCACACGACAAACACACTACGAAGGCCTACAACACAAAATATATAAAACCAAACAGATATTTGGATGTTTGATGTGGTGCAAGAATAAACACACATATTTATATTAATATATTACCATCCACTACAACCCCCACCCCCTTCTCCAAACTCAAATTCCCACAGTACAAATATAGATCCCCAAAATACTAATAACTTTAAAAAGTTTTCCGAAATAAATCTTCAACTTGTGATTCAACAAAGAACTTCGTCATCCGTTCATGGCGTTCGTTCGCTGTTCGACTTCTTGGCTCAGCAGATCTGTAATTCACATTTGGTTGATTTGAGGATGATGTGAACGACAAATCGAGCCATAATGGCTGTGGGTTGTTTATGTGGGTCATATTTACATATGTTTTATTACAAGCTATATTATTGCCAAAAAATATCAACATCGTCATCATCATCATCTCATCTCAGGCAGGCATTTATTTGTTTGCATTCTCTAGGCAGTTG